TTCTGTGGTTTAGACTTACTGATTTTTTTCAAAAACAAAAAACCCCAAACATCCCATTAAGATCTTCTATTCAACAGGTTTCCTTTCTGTCTCTTTTCCCCATTGTAATTGTTGGTACCTTCTGACTTTCTTACCACCTCTGTTTTGCTGATTGCTAATGTGAGGCATAGCTTAATGTATTTCTTTGTGCTGTGTTTTCTGGAGTTTGAAGGCTTTTTCAGACTCAGATTTCATCCTTCTTGCACGATTATAAATGATGTTATGTTCTCCTGTAATACCAGATTTTTCAGTCTTTATTCTTCTTTCCCTCTGTTTTTCCTATCTCCTTTCCACCTGTTCTCCTAGTGTTTTGCCTATGCCAGGTATGTTCTTTGTTACTTTTTATGTTAACAGCCATTGATGCTCAATCCTAACCTCAACTGACTCTTCTTCTTCTTTTTTTTTGCCAGTCCTGGGCTTTGCACTGAACTCTGAGCTTAAGTGCTGTCCTTAAACCTTTTTGCTAAATGCTAGCACTCTACCACTTGAGCCACAGTTCTACTTTGGGCTTTTTGGTGATAGTCTCATGGACATGCTTGACTAGGCTGGTTTCTAACCATGATCCTCAGATCTCAGCCTCCTGAGTAGCTAGGATTACTGGCATGAGACCAGTGCCTAGCATCAAGTGACTTTTGAGGTCTATTAAATGATATAAAATTATAATCCTATCTTAATTTTTTTTTTTTTTTTTGCCCATTCTTGGGCTTGAACTCTGGGTTTGGACACTGTCCCTGAGCTTCTTTTGCTCGAGGCTAGCACTCTACCACTTGCCCCACAGCACCACTTTCGGCTTTTTCTGTTTATGTGGTACTGAAGAATAGAACTCAGAGCTTCATGAATGCTAGGCAAATACTCTACCACTAAGCTACATTCCCAGCCCAAGTCTTGGGCTTTAAACTAGGAGTCTGGGCACTGTTCATGAGGCAGACAGTCTACCACTAAGCCACATTCCCAGCCTAATCATTTTACCACTTAGTAATAAACAGATACCAATGCCCTCATCTACTATTACAATTGCCTACCCAGTGGTAAAGGGCATCTAAGAAAGGAAAAGCACCTGCTTATTTCATTTCTCTTCTTAGACTTACACATATTTGGTAAGCTGCTTTTGATTTTAAGTCTTATTTGTTATGGCTTACATTGTTTCTCTGTGGCTCATTGGGGCCAGAGTCTTTCTGATGTGATCCTACTCATCTCTGATAGTTGTCTTGCTATCTGGTAGGTCAGGATGTTCCACACATATCTTGGACATTTACTCTAAGGCCCGGTGCTGGTGGCTCACACCTGTAATCCTAGCTACTCAGGAGGTTGAGATCTGATGATCACGGTTTCAAAGCCAGCCTAGGCAGGGAAAGTCTGTGAGATTCTTATCTCCAATAAACTACCCAGAAAACCATAAGTGGCATTGTGGCTCAAGTGATAGAGCGCTAGTTTTGAGCTAAAGAGCTGAGGGACAGCGCCCAGGCTTAGAATTCAAGTCCCACACCAACAAAAAAAAAGAAAGAAAATTAATCTAAATATACAAGTGATAGAAAATGCATTCCCCTTTCTACAAGGTTATCTGTTAATATTACACACTTTTTCTTATGAATTTTTATATCTCTGTGTAGAAAAGAAATTTTTTTGTGTGATTTTTATTAATTAATTTATTTTTGGGTCCAGTCTTGGGGACTGAACTCTAGGCCTGGGCGCTGTCCCTCAGCTCTTCAGCTCAAGGCTAGCGCCCTACCACCTGAGCCATAGCGCCACTTCCGGCTTTTCTCTTTTTTGCTTATGTGGTGCTGAGGAATTGAACCCAGGGCCTCAGGCATGCAAGGCAAGCGCTCTACCACTGAGCCACCTTCCCAGCCCCGAAAAGAAAATTTTTTTAAGTATTCTTTTTTTTCTGTACTCGTATAGTGGTACTGTATTGCAAAACTATTCAATAACACAGCTAATTTTTCTGTTAGTATGTGACAATCTACTTAATTTCTTTTAGAAACTACTAATATTTCTTTCTTTTTTTTTTTTTGTCTGTTGTGGGGCTTGAACTCTAGGCCTGGGTGCTGTTCCTGCACTCTTCAGCTCAAGGCAAGTGCTCTACCACTTGAGCCACAGAGCCACTTCCGGTTTTCTAGTGGTTTTTATTGGAGATCAGAGTCTCATGGTCTTTTCTGCCTGAGCTGGCTTTGAACCGTGATCCTCAGATCTCAGCCTCCTAAGTAGCTAGGATTATAGGCATGAACCACCGGTGAGCAGCAGAAACTGCTAATATTTCTAATACTTGGTATGGTTACATCTTCTGTGTGTGTGTGTGTGTATGTATGTATGTATGTATGTATTCATACTTGGGCTTGGATTCAGGATCTGGACTCTGTCTCTTAGCTACTCTCAAGGGTACTCTTCTACGACTTGAGCCACAGCTTCACTTCTGGCTTTTTTTTGGATAGTCATTTGGAAATTATATTCTTTTTTTTTTTTTTGGTCCGGTCGTGGGGCCTGAACTCTGGGCCTGGGTGCTGTCCCTCAGCTCTTCAGCTCAGGGCTAGCGCTCTACCACTTGAGCCACAGCACCACTTCTGGCTCTTTTCTTTTTCTTATGTGGTGCTGAGGAATTGAACCCAGGGCCTCAGGCATGCAAGGCAAGCGCTCTACCACTGAGCCAACTTCCCAGCCCCGGAAATTATATTCTTATAGATGTTCCTGCCTGGGCTGGCTCTGAGTAGCTAGAATTATAAGCTTGAGCCATCAGTGCCCAGCTGGTTACATTTTATTTTATTAGTTTTTCTCTTAGTGATGGGTGTTAGTGTGTTTCCCATTTCACACCTAGTACAGCTCTTGCTTCTGTTGGGCACCACTCAGGAATTTGAGGGCAGAGTATGTCTATTTAGAACATTGTCAGCTTGCCCTATTCTTCTCAAGTAAGTATCTACTTAATCACCCATACTTGATACTACAGATTTCACTAATCTAAGAAGAAAAATGTTCCATGATTTCTTCATGCTATTTTTTTTTTTGATGCAGAAATGAGAACCCAGCTGGTATCTCAGACAGCTACCCACTTCCCCCACATCAGTCTCTAGGCATAGAGGCTTCCCGTTCCTTCTGGAGTACACTGTTTGGTTCAGTGTGAGCAGATAGCACTCTAGCTCTATGCGCAGCTACAGAGACCTGTTAGTTCTCCTGAGCACTAGCTTTGTTCGAGTATATGCCACTTCTTGCCTTTCTCCTCCCCTCTTTTCTTACTCTCTCATCATGGTGGTTCTTTTCCTTGTACATTTGGTCTGCAGTTGATATTTGTTCTCTAATCCTCTTTCCATCATTTCCCCAATTTTGGCAAGTCTAAAGGCTAATAGTAACAATAGAAAGTTAATGTCTTTGGTATTTTGGTGAATTAATCACCTTGAATAGTATAAATACTTTAACAGTCAATTCTCTCAATCCATAAATACAGGATGTCTTTTCAGTTTTTGTGTTCAAATTACTTTCATAAATGTGTCCTATCATTTTCATTACAGATGTCTTTTACCTCTTTGGTAAAGTTACTCCTAGGTATTTTATTTTTAAAGCTATTGTAAAAATGGGATTGTGTTCTTGATTTCTCATTTAGGTAATTCATTATTGTCATACAACAATACTACTGAAACATGTTAATTTTGTATCCTATAAGTTTGCTGATTTCCAATTGAATTGCTCCTGTTCCCTCTCCTTCCTTCAGCACTGGAGTCTGTAACTGGAGTCTGTAACCCTGCTAAGAAAACACTGTACCACTTGTCACATCCCTGCTCATGATTTCTTCTACTTTTTTTTTAATCCAAATTTGGATGCCCTTTATTTCATTCCCTGGTTGGCACTTCTAATAAACGTGGTAGAGTAAGCATTTTTATTTTGTTCCAGATCCTTTTTTTTTTTTTTTTTGCTGGTCGATGGGGCCTGAACTCTGGGCCTGGGCGCTGTCCCTCAGCTCTTCAGCTCAAGGCTAGCGCTCTACCACTTGAGCCACAGCGCCACTTCTGGCCTT